GAAGAACTTATTTTATTATAATATAACTTTTATTATTGATATTTAGTTGTTAAAAAGCTGTGAAAGGATAAGGAACCCTTTCTCTATTCCTTCCCTTTCCCCCCATAGGCTCCCAGTTAGTGTTGGGCTTTGCCCCCCCCTCTGGGGAACGTGGGGGGTATTTAAAATATGTCACAGAAAATTTAAGATGTTTTACAAATAATTTAAGCATTAACTTATATCTTAGTGGTTTTGGTCCTTTTAATAACGTGGGGCTGCGGTGGAGCCCGGGGAGGATCTGGGGGGGACTTGGTGGGGGGGGCTCTACTTGAGCTGTTGGAGATTGGATGTGGATTTAGGAGTTTTTGGGGGAAGGGGGGGTGTGGGGGGCTAAGGGAATTCCAGGTGATAGGAGCTGCTCTCCCTGCCATGGTCCTGTTTCCTCGCTCCTAAACCTGCTCTGATTTGGGAATGGTGTCTCTGTCCCTTATTCCCCTCCTGCAGCCCAAGGCTGGTGTGTGCAGAGCTGGGTTTAGGGCTGTGTTGGAGGACTTGGCTGTCGGGGTGATCGGGACAGGATTATGGTGCATTCCCAGTGGGATGAGGGTGCAGGATCACTGTGCCCAGGGCAGCTCTTCCAGGGAATCCCACTGGCATGTGGCTGTTCACAGCCAAGCTGGAAGCAGCTTTTACACAGCCCAGGGACCCACCAGGGTTTGGGTTGAATGTTTGGGAAAACCCCATTTCCTTCTTTAGACTTTTACTCTCCCACCTTCAATAAATGGATGTTCTCTGGATGGTTTTTGGGAAACTTGTTCCACATGGGCTTGTTTTTAGGAAGATTCAGTGCTGGCCTCTCCAGCACCTCTACCCTCGGCGACCCTCCCCCTGCCAAGGGTTTGGGAACGGGTTTAGGTCCGTTTTTGGGTCTGGCTTAGATTTCAGGCTCTGGCCAAAGGCCCAGCCCTTTGTTTCCCCCAACTCCTTTGGAGGCCGGTTTCTCCCGGGATGAGGAGGTTCTGCCTTCCTGTTAACAGGCGGGGAGCAGTGTCGGTCTGCAGCCAGGCTGGGAAACCGGGAGGGGATCGGGAACAGTGTGGGGGGCTCTTGGCCAAGCCCGAGGACCAAGCCGGGGCTCCGGGGACCTCCTCCTTTCCCGGGGCCGAAGCCCGATCCCGGTGTCACCTTCCCCGAGGACCCTCCCGGTCCCGGCCGCGGCCACGTGTCGCGTTCCCGCCGCGCTCGCCAGCGATGAACACAACAGGGGGAGGCGTGGCCAAGTCCCCTCGTGAGTGAACGGCGGGATCGCCCACCCGCGCGGGCACACTCCGCTCCCGGCGCCGGCCGCCGATTGGCTGCCGGGCGGGCCAGTGAGGCGGCGGGGCGGGCATCGCGCCGGGTCTCGCGCGGAGGCCGCGGCGGAGCGAGGTAAGATGGCGGCGGCGCCGCCCGCCACGGTCAAGGGTACCTGCGCAGGCCCCTCGCCGCGGCCGGCGCGCGCTCCCCGGGCACCCCTCAGCCCGCAGCCGTCAGCGGCGGGCGGGCCTGAGCCCACACGTCTCCCCGAACCGCGCCGCAGACACGCTGCGCGGTTCCACCGGGGGATTCCCCCGCGGGCTGAGCCGGTTAGTTACCGTGGCTCGAGGCCCGGGAGGTACGGCACGGCCGCCGCGGAAAACAAAATGGCGGCGGCGCGGGCGGGGGCCCGGAAAGGCGCCGGCAATGGCGCGAGGGGGGGCAGCGGGCGGGGGGAGGAGCAACGGTGGGGCGCGGGGGGGGGGGGGCGGCCGGACAGAAAAAAAAAAAAACCCCCGTGGATAGACCGGGATGGGATACTGGGATAGACCGGGATGGGGACCGGGATAGACTGGGGAGGGCACCGGGATAGACACCGGGATAGGCATGGATGGGCACCGGGATGGGGCACCGGGATAGAGGCGAAGTGGACACCGGGGTAGATCGGGATGGAAACCGGAATACATCGGGATGGAGGTGAGATGAGAACCGGGATGCAGCGGCACGGAGGCGGGAACGGGCACTTGGCGGCACCGGGAGAACGGGGATGCAGGCAGGGACAGGAACCGGGATACCCCGGGATTCAGGAGGAGGGAGTTCTGTTCTGGTCCTGTGCTGGTCAGTGATGGGGGGGTGATCCCGGGAACTGGGAGGGGCCCTGAAGGGATGGGGATCATACCGGCCATGGGGGTCAGAATTTTACCCACATCGGTTCCCACCTGCTGCTCTTCATCCTGTCGGTGTTTCCTTCCCTCTCTTTCCCTGCAGGTGTTGCCATGAACAGGATCCGGATCCACGTGCTGCCCACGAGCCGGGGCCGCCTGACCCCGGTGCCGCGGCCCCAGGAGCCGCTGGCCTGTGCCTTCAGCCCCCGGCCCTGCTCCCAGCCCCGCCTGGAGGGGCAGGAATTCTGCATCAAGCACATCCTGGAGGACAGGAACGCTCCCTTCAAGCAGTGCAGTTACGTGTCCGCCAAGAACGGGAAACGCTGCCCCAACGCCGCCCCCAAACCCGAGAAGAAGGATGGGTGAGTGCCTCCTCTGCCTCCTGGTTTTCCCGGTATTCCCCGTGGTTTTTAACCCTGTGGAATTCAAATGGCCAGGAGGAGGTTCTTCTCCTTGTGGTCCCCGCCGAGGGAAAGGCTGGAGCTGTGTCAGGGGAGGCTTGGGTTGGATTTTTGGGGAAAGGTTCTTCCCCCAGAGGGTGGTCGGGCACTGAACAGTTTTCCCAGGGTTTGGTCACGACCCCAAGGCTGCCAGAGCTCAAGGAGCATTTGGACAACACTTTCAGGAGCTGGGATTTTGGGATTAGTGGGATTTTGGGGTGTCCTGTGCGGGGCCAGGAGCTGGATTTTGATGGTCCTTGTGGGTCCCTTCCAGCTCAGGATATTCCATAATTTTCCCCCTTCAACTGCTGCACTTGGATCACCTCAGAGAAGCATCTCCCCTTTTCCAAAGCGTTTTTTAAGCTGGTAAAAGGCTCCAGGGAGTCCTCTTGGCACCGTGGCTGTGCCCTGGGCCAGCAGGAGGTGGCTGCAGTGCTCCAGGCCCTGCCTGGGAGCCGTCCCTCCCTCATCCCAGCACGGAGCTTCCCGCTGTCTGTGCTGGTGGATAATCCCCAGTGCAGCCACTCTGGCCCTGGGGAGCTTTGCCCTGGTTGTGCTGCTGCTTCTCTGAGGTGTTTAAAATGCTCTAGGATGGTCAGAGGGAGCAGCTCTGCCGTGGGGAAAGGCTGGGGAGAGTTGGGATTGTTCAGCCTGGAGAAGGGAAAGCTTTGGGGTGACTTTCCAGGACATGGAGGGGACCTGCAGGAAAGATGGAGGGAGATTACTTCCAAGGGCCTAGAGTGCCAGGACAGAGGGGAATGGCTTCAAACGGACAGAAGAGAGGGTTAGATGGGATATTGGGAAGAAATTCCTCCCTGGGAGGGTGGGGAGGCCCTGGCACAGGTTGCCCA